ACAGAGTAAGAGATTAGAATGCAGTCCGAGACACACACACACACACACACACACACACACACACACACACACACACAGAGAGAGAGAGAGAGAGAGAGAGAGAGAGAAATTACAATCCCAAAAGAAACTAAAAAAATAAAGTCAAAATAAAGAGCTGGCCTGGTACACAATGAGGAACAGTTGATCCTCTGGGAGAAGGGAAAAGGAAGTAAGGAAAAGCCTGAAACAGCTAAATTTGTAAGAGAAGTTACCTTTCACAGAATATTTGTTTAATGCCTATTAAATAAACAGGCGGAAATTTTTGTTTATTGAATTTCTTACCTTCACTTATGTTTGGTGGTAAAATGAATCTAAAGTGATAATGAAATTAAAATATGTTGTGATGACAAATGTGACACTTCAACCATTCTAGAATTTAAGAGGAAACCAAAATAGCCAATTCCTTAACAGTTTTTACAAGGGAATTTATGGTAATATTTAGTGATAGATTATGATCTAGGGTACTGCTCCCAAGACGAAAGGGTACTGCTTAACTTTTGAGGCTTTTAAAATATTTTGGTGTTACAGACTTTAGAAGTTATTAGCTTCTATATCCCTCCAATAATTGATCAAGGGGATGATGCCAGCATTCATTTTCCTTCAAAGCTGTTTGTCAAGAATAGTGATGAAATATGATTACAGATTAGTAATAATGTATTAAAGTACAGTACAGATGCCTAAAATGAAGAAAACAATTGTCGATCAAGCCAGTATTTCTCATCAATGAGACTTTAGGGGTTGGGATTGGAACTGCTTTCTCAAGAATATGTTTTTCTCTTTTTTGTCCTTTTAGCATTATACATCAAATTGATTCTTAAATACAAAGTCCTTTTTAACAAAGGAAGGACGTGGCTCTCTTTTACCCATTTATTTTTAAAATTATCTAATTTTATCCTGAAAAAATGTATAGAAAGAAAATATTTACTTCTTTCAGACTTTGGGGACTCACATACCATAAGAGTCATAGGGGTCGATGTTGGGATTAGTGGTATTCCAGCCCTGGATCAGTCCGTCAGTACCACCACTGTAACACTGCTCACCATCGCTGCTCATTACCACACAAAGCACTGGACCTCTGGGAGATTATTTTAAAAAAACCAATTGCAAGTCTCAAAAATCAATCTGATAATATGACTTCTTAAAAATAAGAATGTTTAATTACTCAAATGGCTATTTTTCTGCTTTTTATAATGAATAAAAATACAGGTACTATCAAAGCATTGTTTAGTTTTCTTCGTCTGCTAAACCAGGAGTTGGTCAACTATGGCCTACAGACCAAATCCAGTGGTCTGTTTATGTACAGTCCTCAAGCTAGGAATGGTTTTTACATTTTTACAGGGTTGTAAAACAAAACAAAACAAAAAATAAGAATATGCAACAGAAAAAAAAGAATATGTAACAGAAAGCACACAGCTTGCAAAGCCTAAAATATTTTTTAAAAGCCTAGAAGCCTAAAGATATTTATTATCTGACTCTTTATATAAAAAGTATACCTATCTCTGTGCTAAATCACGTGAATAGACACGTTCATTCAGCTTAAATGGAAACAGGATAAACATGCAATATGTGATCACAATAAAAAAAATTCTTGTGTCTTTAAGGAAAAAAAGTCAGGATTTCTAATACTTAAATCTAACTGCCTCAACTTTAAGAGAGATATATACATTATTTAAACAACATGCAAATAAAAATTTAAGCAAGGATTCCTATTTGGCAGCAATAAACTTGTTTTTAGCATTATATTATCTGCCAGTTTCTTTTACATTTACAGAAAAACACTAATACAAAAAATACATAACACAAATACATAAGTGAAAATAAAATATTCTAATAAGGCTGTTTTACAATCATGTTGGCTTAAAATAAAGAAAAAGCACATACTTACTTATGGGCCCTGAATGTATAGATAGGCTCTACATCAAGAGAAGTACTCCTAAATCAGACAAAGAAGATGACTTTACCAATCTAAGTTTCAGCAGTAAATGCCATAATTGAATATAAGTCATATAATTGCCTTTAAAACCACAAACATATGGTAATATACCATTCTCAACTACAGGATACATAAGACAGCTTACTTAACACCAATTACACTTTCATAGTATCAAGAAACAAGATCTTTGTTTAGTAATAATACCTTGTTACAGTGCTTTTAGTGTTGTCATAATCTATTTGACTAAAGGAAGAGATAGCTTTACTCAACAGAAACAACATGGGCTTTGAAGGGATAAGTTTCTGAATTCAATTTCCAGCTCTGCCATTAACTGGCTAACTTTAGATAAGTTATTTAATCTTTCAGAATTTCAGATTCCTCTGTTTAAAACAAAACAGAAAAATAGGGATACTACCAAATACTCACAGGATAGTAATAATTTTTCTACTATCAAAAATAAAACAGCCTAGGACAGAACTGTATACATAGCAGGATTTCAACAAATGGTACTTTAACTTCCTTGCCTTTCTATGAAAGTTAATATATCTATCCTTGACACTGTAGAAATTGCTCAAGACTTCAGTTTATCACTCAGAACACTATGGGTACACTATACTACCTAATATTGGCCATAACTGTTGATGGACACTGAATTTAAAGTCAAGTACTTACCATTTTCTACATTGTTATCAAGTTATTTATAGGCATATGTTATCTCCCTTCAAGTCATTACCAAGTTTAAATTCAAAGGTAAACAGACCACTGTTATTTACAAGTTACCACCACCAAGAAACTTGTTTCAATATCTTTCTAAATTTTAGTCAAGAATATATGATGAAACATTCACATCTCTAGCCTAATGTGATTGTGATAGAACTATTACCAGCACACTGTGACCACAGAATTAGAAAGGTAAAAGGCACAGTGTATAACCTGGAAATTATTTTTCTCTGCTAAAAATACCTGATCCATATGAGGGTCCATTTGGTTTATGTATGATCTGGTCGAGCTACCTGATGCAGACTGATGAAATCAAGTATTTTATCTACCCTATGTATGACTCACAGCATGAATGCCACTGATGTCTTTTAAACTGGGCAACAGATTTACCAGTAGTAAAATTTCTGTAACTTCTTCCATTTGATGTTCAGTTGTACTCCTGTAGTAACAAATGTGTCTGACACTGCAGAAGGGCCTTTGCTGGCAGATGCTGGTTCTAGAACGTGCAACCCAAGGAAGGAAAGGAGCTCCAATAAGGACCCAAGCAAGTGGGACAATGAAGTCTAGCTATGCTACTGATTAAGGAATTTATATTAACTCATGTCTGTCCATAACTTAAGATAGGAACCAAGGGGCCAAGGCTAGCACTAGCAATTAAATGATGACAACAGTGCCTTTCAGTCTTGACATACTGGTGGGTATGGAAAGCACCTGAAGGCTCAAGGCCAAAAGAAAAGACCAAAGAGAGGTCTTCCACCATTCCGAATCAACCCTTCCTGTCCTCTACCCTGTAAGTACACACCTAGTAAACAATGGGGCAGGGTGAGGGTAGAGGTTTGATGATTTTAAATATGCCTATAACTATTTATAAGAACAATAGAAACCTTCGGTATAGTTAAGAGGCTCCCCAAATATGACAGCCATTTAAAACACTTGTATGTATAAGGACTGTAATCAGCATTCACAAACCTTGAGGAAACTATCAGATAATAAATACCCTTTCTTTCTAAGTGTCAGTTTTCCAACTTAACATTAGATTGTATGAAGGGAAAAACACTCTAAATTACGCGATGAAGTGAAGAAGAACGAACAAGAATATTTGGGAAAATTAATGGCAAAAAATTAAAATATGTATTTTTCTGCTGAAAAACTGTTAATTAAAATAGTCAAATAATGTTAGAATATTCTCACTTTTTGGTTGGGGCTGTTTTCTGCAAGTTCCACATTTTTAATGTGTGGTCCTCTGATGCTGTTATCAAAACAGGCTCAATGGGGTGAAAAGCAAGGGCTCGGATGCCATCAAAGTGACTTCTTAATGTAAACTTAGGGTTCCATGTCTTCCTCAATGCATCTTTATTGTTTGCTATCTAGTAAAAAAACAAAGCAGAGATACTTATACACTTAGTTCAGGATAGGGGAAAAAAATCTTGAATTTCAACATTAATTCTTGCTGATTTGTCATTAAGCCATCACATTTTGCAATTTTAAAAACAATATAATTTTTAAATGTAAATACCAAACCAAGAGGCAAAATTAGCAATATATCAGCAGTTTTCTTTGAAGAAATATGAAAGGTGTAATAAGAAAACAACATAATTCAATATAAAAAGCAAATCAAATAATAATATAAAATAGATATTCACTAGGGTGCTAAAAAATCAAGTAATTCAACATAAATTATAGTATGGAGAATGCATTTTTAGGTAAGAGCTGAAAAACTACATTATCCTTAAACTGTTAACATTTCAGAATATGATATTTTTGAGATTTTCAATACTTTTTAATAGGAGCTAAATTTTCTTCATCGAATTGGAAATGACGTTTATAAACTGGAAACAGAAAATGTTAAAAATTGGAAGAGATGATCAGATAACACAAAGAATACATTCCATTGGTAAAACAAACACATTGTTATGTTTTTTCTCTCCACAGTAAATCCATCTCAGCAACTGGAAAAATACACTATTTTTTTCATCCAACTAATAGGGAAGCTAAAAGAGGTAGCTGGTATTTGACTTTACATTAGCACCATGTATGAACTCTTCACACTCCAAGGCTAGCAATCACACAGGTTTAAGCTAGAGTGGCAAAATACAGTCACGTGCTGTATAACTACATTTCAGACAGCAACAGACTGCATATATGATGCTCATCACATAAGAAAGATCATAATGGAGGTGAAAAATTCTTATTGTCTACTGACACTGTAGCTGTTTTAATATCATAGCACAATGCATTACTCATGTGTTTGTGGGGATGCTGGTGCAAACAAACCTACTGCACTGCCAGTCAAAAGTCTAGCACATACAATTATGTATAGTACATAATACTGAATAATGATAATAAACAACTATGTTACTGGTTCATGTATTTACTATACCATACCGTTTATCTTTAGAGTACATTCCGTGTACTTATTAAAAAAAGAGTTAACTGTAAAACAGCCTCAGCCAGGTCCTTCAGGAGGTGTTCCAGAAGAAGGCATTGTTATCACAGGAGATGACAGCTCCATGTGTGTTACTGCCCCTGAAGCCTTTCCAGCAGGACAAGATGTGGAGGTGAAGACAGTGGTATTAATGATCCTGACCCTGTACAGGCCTAAGCTAACGTGTGTGTGTGTCTTAAGTTTTTAACGAAAAAGTTAAAAAGTAAAAATAAAAATTTTAAAAATAGAAAAATCTTACGAAATAAGAATATAAAGAAAGAAAATATTTTTGTACAATGTGTTTGTGTTTTAAGCTAAGTGTTATTACAAAAGAGTCAAAATGTTAAATTTTTAAAGTTCATAAAGTTAAAAAATTACAGTAAGCTAAGATTAATTTATTATTGAAGAAAAACTTTTGAAATAAATTTAGCATACCCAAAGTGTACAGTGTGTAGTAATGTCCTAGACCTTTACATTCACCCACCACTCACTCATTGACTCACCTAGAACAACTTCTAGTCCTGAAAGCTCCATTCATGTTAAGTGCCTTATACAGGTATACCATTTTTTATCTTTTGTGCTGTATTTTTACTATACCCTTTCTGTGTTTAGACATGTTTAGATACACAAATATTCAGCATTGTGTTACAACTGCCTACAGTATTCAGTACAGTTAACATGCTGAACATGCTTTTAGCCTAGGAACAATAGGCTATATTACAAAACCTTGACATGTAGTAGGTTAAACCATCTAGGTTCATGTAAGTAAACTCTATGATGTTCACACAACAATGAAATTGCCTAATGATGCATTTCTTAGACTGTATCCCCATATTAAGCTACACATCAGCATAAAAGACTGAAGAAATATTACCATATTTATGACAAAAATACAGCAATACTAACAATAGCGCTATTATGAGCATTATCCATTATTTTGAATATTAGTAAAAATATTTCATATGGATTAACTCACTTAATCCTCACAATAACTCTATGAAGTAGGAATCAACATTATCTACACTTTATAGTCACATCAGGAAAAGAGAAGTTAAGAGAGTTGCCTAAAGAACTCTGCTAGCACATAAAGGGACTTGGATTCAAGCCCAAGCAGTCTGGATTTTGGGGTCACACTCAATATAAACTATAATGTAGAACACAGAAGCTTCAAAATCTCCAGAAAAAATTGGATAGAACACAATCAGGGTGATAAAGAGAACACAAAACACATCGTGCAAAGACCTACTATAAGAAATGGGACTGGTTATCCTGAATCGTGTCTGCTCTTGTTAAACACCTGAAAGGTTTTCATATAGAAAAGCAATCAGATTCCTTCTGAATGTCTTTTTTTTTGAGGAAAAGTCTTGCTCTGTTGCCCGGGCTAGAGTGCCATGGCCTCAGCCTAGCTCACAACAACCTCAGACTCCTGGGCTCAAGCAATCCTCCTGCCTCAGCCTCCCCAGTAGCTGGGACTACAGGTGTGTGTGACCACACCTGGCTAATTTTTTTCTATTTTTTTTTTTTTAGCTGCCCACCTAATTTCTTTCTATTTTTAGTAGAGATGGGGTCTTCCTCTTGCTGAGGCTGGTCTCAAACTCCTGACCTCAAGTGATCCTCCTGCCTTGGCCTCCCAGAATGCTAGGATTACAGGTGTCAGCCATCATGTCTGGCCCCTTCTGAATGTCTTAATGTGGTAGACAGCTACTAAGATGGCTCCCAATCAGCCTCGCCTCCTTATACTTAAACATACATAGTTCCCTCCCACAATACAGGGTTGGTCTCTGTGACCAATGGCATATAGTAGAAGTGATAACAAATGACTTCCAAAATTAGGTAATAAAACCTTCTATTTTGGGTGCTCTTGCTCTCTCTCTCTTTTCATGTGCACTGGCATTAGGGAAAGCCAGCTGCTATGTTGAAAAGCCCATGGAGAGACCCATGTGGTGAGGAACTAAAGTCTCCAGCTAATAGCCAGCAAAGAACCAAGGCCTTCCAACAGCCACATGAGGAGCTTGAAAGCAGATCCTCCCCAACTTGAGTCTTCAGGTAAAGACTGCAGCCCTTGCCAACATCTTGACTGTAACTACATTAAGACCTTAAGCCAGAACCCCCCAGTTAAGCTATTCCCGGATTCCTGACCCATAGAACTATGAGATAATAAACACTTTTTGTTTTCAAGCTGTTAAATTTCAGCATAATTTGTTACACAGCAATAGATTACTAATATGCTTAATAAAACCAAGAACTACTTTTGAAAACAGAGTGACAGGCATAACACCAAGTTTTCTAACAATTAAGAGCTATGAAAAAACAATGAGCTTTCTCTAGAGAGGAAATGAAGTTCCCTTAGATACTAAAATAAACTCTTTGTGGGGTTAGTATACAGACAACGAAAGTATCCAGTGGGAACTTCTGCTTCTGGTCATGATGGACTAGGTAACTTGGACTGCCTCTGTATCAATGACAAGCAGAAAAGCAAAATATTAAGAAAATTTTAAAAAGTAGTGAAGAAAAGCAGGCCAAGATCCAGAAGTGGACTAAAAAGGTGAGTCCAATATTTGGAGTTGTTTTTCCCCAGAGAATGTTTATTGATTCCAGAGGGGATGGCTAAGAAACTGAGTGGTGCTTGTGGAAGCTTTATAGTGCCACAGGGATATAAACTGATACTGAAGACCTGCCGAGAGAGTGAACCACTTTGCCTTGGGTTGTGATTTCAAAGGGTTTCATCCTAGACATAGGGTGAACCAGAAGAAGCCAAGCCCTTAACTGAAAATGGAGTGAAGTGATCCAGATTTCTAGTAGCTGCAAACATCTGAGAAAAGCAAATTAAAATGTATTCTCTGGAGGAAGATATCATCCGAGGTCTGAAGTTATTTCTACAGACAACTTTTCAAATACAGTTATTTGAACATACAAAATTACCACGCACATAAGGTGATAAGACAATATAAATGAAAATAAGCAGAACCAATATATAATAGTAACAAAACTACAGAGTCTCCAATTCAACTTTAATATACTCATGCTTACTATGTTCAAGAAGATAAAAGAGAAGATTGAAAATTTTGGAAGAAATTTGTAAACAGTTAAAAAAAAAAGTATTTGAGAAGCAAAAACTGTAAGACCTCAATAGGTGTGTTTAACTATAGATTTATTACACGTTATTGAAGAGAAAATTAGTGAACTGAAAGATGGGTCATAAAAAAATTAAGAAAAGGATTAGGGGACAGAGGTTATACAAAGATGGTCTAATACACAGATAACTAAGTTCCAGAAGGAGAGAGAGACAGAGGTGTAAAAGCAGTACATGAAGAGAAATGGCTGAGAATTTCGTAAAACTAATGAAAACATATCAAGCCAAGAAGATTTAACAAATTCAAGAAAGTTAAATAAAAATGAAACCAAACCTTGGCTGAAAATGAAGATAATATTAGAGAAAGAAAGCTCAGATTAGCATTAAAAGACCAACAACACAAATGACAGTTGACTTTAGCAGAAAACAATAAAAAGATAATAAAATACAGTAATATGTTCAGACCGCAAAAAAAACCCCAACCTCTGCCAACTGGAATTCAATATGTGATAATGAAATAATAGTTAAACCATTCGGGCTAAACAAAGAAATTTAAGAAACCAGAAATTCAGAGAACCAACTGAGCACCAGTAGGCCTTCACTAGACAGAAATATTAAACATGTTCTTAGAGAAAAAGGAAAGTGATTCCAGAAGGACAGTCAGACATGGAAGAAAGAATGGAAAAAAGCAAAATGTATAAGATAATGTAAAATAAATAATCCTAATTGTAGGAGATAAATATGTTTAGAAATATATAACAAGAATGACATATAAATAGGGTGGAAATTAAAAGTATCCTAAGGTCTTTGCATAGAAGTTTTGATAAAGATATATGTGATAATCTCTAGGGTAGCCATTAAAAGAGAAGCAAAAGAGTATATAAACTCCAAATAGTAAAGGAGTGGAAGATTGAATTAAAAAAAAGAAATCAATCCCCAAATAGGCAAAAAATAGGAGAAAAAGGAACACAGAACAGGTGTACACAAATAGAAGTTGGACTTAAATCCAAATATATCAGTAATTACTTTAAAAAGAAATGGACTGAATGCTCCTATTAAAAGATAAAAGTTGTCAAAGATTAGATGAAAAAGCAAAAGTCAACTAAATGGTATTTTAAAAGACAAATGTAAAATATAAAGCTACAAAAACACTGGAAATAGAAATGATTTTTTAAAAATACGTAACATATTTGTTGAGAATGGAGTGTAAGGAGCCTATTTAGATTAGATGGTTATTATAGTAGCTCTGGGTGAGAAAACAAATGGACTAAGACAGGAGGTGAAAGGAAATATATGGATTTTTGGCTGGTTTTGGAGGTAGAACCCAGAAGACTTACTAATGGACTTAGCACAGAGCTGGAGTTTTTGATATGCAGGAAGAGGAGTGGAGTGGTAAGGGTTCCTCTTTGCAGTGCTTCTTGATCATACCTATAGTTTGCTTAGGCATCCATCTACATCCCCTGTATGGCACGTGTGCTGCAAGAGCTACACTGTATTCTCCAACAGACATAATTAACTATCAGAGTGAGAGGAATTTAATGAAACAGTGAGAGGAATTTAATGAAATGATAAGACAGGTTATCAATACTTTACCTATGACATAAGCAACTATTTTTCTGACAAATTATTTACTGTGATGAGCAATTATAAATGCATTTATAAAACAATTGTGTTTGGAATTAAGTCAATGCAGGCACAAAGGTCTAAATCTTTGATGGGTCAGCCTTAACATCTGGAAAGCACACCATACACATCTTTGTCTACCAATAATTAAAATCACTTCTCAAAAGGATATTGGCTGATGTACTAAAGAGGCAAGACAAATGTTGCTGTTTAGATAGACATGAATTTCAACTAATCACTGGTGCCCTAAAACATAAAACAAAACCCAAACTTGGTAACAGAAAAAGTAGTTTCTTTCAATAAACAAACTACACTGACTTATGGATTCAGACAAAGCCCAAAGTTTTAATCTCTAGGTTACATGAAAAATGTTTTGTATCTTTTCAAAGTTTGCAATGAAAACTGAACCAAGTTCTATACTTGTAAAGAAGTTTTACCACTGCCATCTTTTTCTATAAAATCAACTTGTTGTTTTCAAAAACAGAGTAAAAACATCAAAAATAAAATTACTACTTACATCGTAAGTTAGCGAATCTGCTTCATTCGCCACTGTAAGGCCTGCTAATTCTCCAAGTCCTAGTTCACTTTCAAGGGCCTCGTCTGCTCCCATGATGAATGACTTTCCAGAAGAAGGGGGAAATGTCAACGCTTCCACTGAAGAGGGAAAACAAAGAAAACATTAAAAAACCTCTAAAGAATCAACATTTAGTCTCATTTGCTTGTATCACATTTCTTATAAGGGCATGTATACATTTAATTATTTTAAATTAAACACAGTAAAAAATTCAGTAAGTAGAAGATTCCTAAAGAACTGATTGCTTTTTCCATATCTTAACCACAGTTAAAGGCATCACCTAATCAGAAAAGCAAAACATGAAACAAATATAATAATCCACTGTCACTTCCTTTTCACTATATAGAAAAATAATATGACTAAAGGAAAGTAAGTTTTCCTCATTTGATATTTCATGCTAGTTACCCAAATAATTGCTATCAATCACTAAACATATATAACAAGTGATTTGGAACATTGCTGGTCTCATTCAAAGTAAAATTCATTAATTTGGTAACCTGGAAGGATACAGAAAAGTTCAAATGAAATGGTTAAAACTGTAAAATTTACCTATATGAGGGAAAATTAGTATGTGGTGTTAGAAGTCAGAATTATCTCTAGAGCAGGGAAAGGGCAGTGATTAGAAGGTAGCACAAGCAGAACTTTTAGGGCCCTGTTAATGTTCTACTTCTTAACCTAGGGGGTGGTGACATGAGTGGGGGTTAGTTCTGACTTTGCGATAATGCCATGAGCTGTACCCTTATGATTTCAGCACTTTTCTGTAGGTATGTTGTATTTCATTTAAAAATGTTTGTCTCAAAGAAATTTTTTTAAAGTGTCCATTTGAACACTTTCATTAGCTGCCAACTATGCTTCAAGATGTCAGCTTTACTTTGTGATAAACTTGAATATACTTCCTTTATAACAATGAACAAATCCAATTCCTTCAAAAACCACCATAGAAAAACCAGTTAAAAGCAAAATGTCAAAGTAAAATAGAGAATAGAAATTTAATTTAATTTGGTCAATAATAAAATGTCACTTTTTTTTTTTGGAGACAGAGCCTAGCTCTGTTGCCTGGGCTAGAGTGCTGTAGCGTCAGCCTAGCTCACAGCAACCTCAAACTCCTAAGCTTAAAGATCCTCCTGCCTCAGCCTCCCCAAGTAGCTGGGACTACAGGCACACACCACCATGCCCGGCTAATTTTTTTCTATTTTTAGTAGAGACAGGGTCTCACTCTTGCTCAGGCTGTTCTCAAACTGCTGAGCTTAAGTGATCCTCCTACCTCAGCCCCCAGAGTGCTAGGATTATAGGTGTGAGCCACTGTGCCCAGCCAAATGTCACTCTTTATAAATGAAAATTATTCAGGCAAAAGTCAGAGATGGTCTTTGAGTAGTTTTCTAGAGGTAGTTACTTTACTGATGACAAAAACTTTTGAGTCAATTGGATGAATTTAGTAGTTCAAACTCTAGCTGCTAAAGAGGTAAATTAACTTAGAAGAAAAAGTCAACTGTATTAACTAGTATATGTAGGAAGCAGATTTACAAGATGTTTTACAGCTTTATATTTAATCATATCTGATAATAAATACTCATTGAATAAATGAAAGAATGGTTATTTACTAAAACAGCCGTAGCAGAAACTCTACTTACAAACCTTGTCAGAACAAAACAGTATATATTAAGACATCAAACCACCATACAAATAGCAGCAATAATAAAAATGGGCTTTACCCAAAATACTATATATTGTCTGAGGAGTTCAAACAACTCTAAACATTCACTAATGAAGAGTAGGAATCGTTTAAGTTAGGACAGCAATTTTCAGGCCAAAATTTCAATCAAATAACTGATGTGAGACTATGAGGCTAGGTCTTCAGCCAAGTGTTTTTTGTTTTGTTTTCATTTCTAACATTTCCAGATAACTCTGCTCACGTGTGAAGGACTAAGAGTCTTGGGATTGACCATACACATTTTGTGGGCTCATTTTAACTAATGCTCTATAATCGGACAAGTAAAACCTGAAAACAAGGAAGGCAACAACTACTTCCTCACCCACCAGTGGATAGCCAGCAGGCTTGAGGGCTGAAGAGAGAGAACAATAATGGGCATCACTGTCATTTGATTGTTCTCTAAGGTGCTTCAGAACTTAAGGCCAGAGGTCACATTTCTAAAGGACAACTAAACCTTACTGGCCCTAATCAGCTTTTACTTACTTACTTATTTTTTCTAGAGGTGGGGTCTTGCTCTGTCATCCAGGCTAGGTACAGTGGCTTGATCACAGCTCACTGTAACCTTGAACTCCTGGGCTCAAATGATCCTCCTGCCTTAGCCTCAAAAATAGCTGGGGCTACAGGTGTGGCCTGTAGCTAATTTTGGGGTTTTTTTGGGGGGAGGGGCGGTTAGCAGAGATAGGGTCTCACTATGTTGCTCAGGCTGGTCTCAAATACTTGGCCTCAAGTGATCCTCCTGCCTCAGCCTCCCAAAGCGCTGGGATTACAGGCATGAGCCACCACTCCTGGCCCTACAAAATTATTAAACTGTGCCTTTTAAGTGTGATACTGCCTTCTGAATTATTAAAATAAAGTAATAAAGTTGTAGAGCATACACAGGATACAGATGTTCTTTCTGAAAGTGGACTGGAGACCAAAAAGCATCAATAAGAGGCAACTAAATAAACAATCGATTTCTTAAATGCTTTTTCTACTTCTGAAAAACCCACACTAAGGAGGAAGACCATTGCTGCAGACAGCAAGTTAAACATTCAATGCTTCAGTTTTAAGGTTATTAAATACTTTTTCTATTAAGAGCATTTTATGTGGCTTATATAATGCTTTTGTATATCTGTCATTTAGTAAATAGTATATATCCTGTCTCTATTATTAAAATTCCGCATAATTTATGTATGATCCAAGATGAAATCTGTGATAAACTTTTTTTGAATTATGAGAATAAAAACTAATATTTCTCCTTATCTAGACCTGACCTTGGAATAAATGAAACTGATTAAAGTCTCCTATCTATGATGTCAACAAAATAAATCTAGTGAACAATGTACCTATTGAGGACCATTACTTCACATCAGTAAATTTAAAAGCCACGGGTCTACATCAAATAAATTTTATACCCAGAGGTAATACGCTGACTCTTCATATGGGTAATAAATTCCAAGTATGCCATAATTAACTCTAACAAATAATTAACCATGTAATGGTCAAAATTTTCAATGAAGAAGTATTACAACCACGAAAATCTATATATCAAAGTCCTATCAGTTAATGTCTCTCTAAAAGATAATTGAATCAAAAAACAAGAAAAACACAAATGATCACTCTATGACTTTTTCTCAGGCTGTGTTATTCCATAAATAATAATCTGAAGAGACATATACCTTGCAAATAATTATAGTATTTAAATTCAATATAATTTTTAAAAATAAATTTTAAAAAATATTCATCGAGATTACTTTTATGTCATACTGGATCTTCAGCTGATGTAAATACATATTTTAAAACCAATTTCCACATAAAAGCATTTCACACATTTATAAATAAATCAGAACTTGTGCCTAAAAGAAAGAACCGTATTTTTTTTTTTTTTTTTTTTTGAGACAGAGTGTCGCTTTGTTGCCCTGGCTAGAGTGAGTGCCGTGGCGTCAGCCTAGCTCACAGCAACCTCAAACTCCTGGGCTCAAGCAATCCTTCTGCCTCAGCCTCCCGAGTAGCTGGGACTACAGGCATGCGCCACCATGCCCGGCTAATTTTTTCTATATATTTTTAGTTGTCCGATTAATTTCTTTCTATTTTTAGCAGAGACGGGGTCTCGCTTTTGCTCAGGCTGGTTTCGAACTCCTGAGCTCAAACAATCCACCCGCCTCGGCCTCCCAGAGTGCTAGGATTACAGGCGTGAGCCACCGCGCCCGGCCAAGAACCGTATTCATACATTATAAGATTGTACTATAAAAAACTGAAAACAACCTAAATATCCAAAAGGGGAATGGTTTTGTATCAAGTTTAAAATATAATATACAATCTTAAACTATAATTATGGAAATTGTATGATTTTATGTTAAGTAAATAAAACAAAACAGAATTATTCTACATGGTGTGTATATAGAATATGCCTATATAAAAAATATA